ATATATAAATATATATAAAATATACAAAAAATATATCTACATATTGGGTGAGCAACATTTACCCCCAACATCTCTCTATTTTGGAACCTCTTTAACATCGAAACCCCGTTTTTGAGCCCAAATATTTGGGACTTTGGCCATCGCCATCCCGCGTCGGGCCGAAAATTGATCATTTCTTCCCCAAATCATCGAGTTTTCAGCCCAAACGCGGCTGATGCCCTGAAAAGCGAGATCTCCCGTAAAAATAAATCACTGTTTTCCTCGGTATTCTGATTTAACCCGGAAATTTTGGGGGAAAAAGGAGCAAAAATGGGTCCAAAACCGGAGAAAACCGAGGCGGGACGGTTCGTGAATTGTGCCTCGAAGTAATTAAGCAAAATTACGCAAATTACTTTCGATTATCAACTTTTTCCTCTTTTTATTGAGTGTTTTTTCTTCCTCTCTTTCAAATCTGATCCTGCAGCTCCCCCTTGCGACCAAATTCGCTCTCACACCGATAATTAAAGGTTAATTTGGAGGAGTTTAATGATTTTTAACCCATTTCGTGCCCAACCCGATTTATTGGGGGGAAAAAAAAAAAGCAAAAGCTGCCATGCGAGGCTTTATTTATTAAAAAGTTAAAGTTAAAGTTTAAATTAAAGGTAAAAGTTAAAATTTAAATTAAAGTTAAAGTTAAAATTTAAGTTCAAGTTCAAGTTAAAATTTAAGTTCAAGTTCAAGTTAAAATTTAAGTTAAAGTCAAAATTTAAATTAAAGGTAAAGTTAAAATTTAAATTAAAGTTAAAGTTAAAGTTAAAATTTAAATTAAAGTTAAAGTTAAAGTTAAACGTTAAAGTTAAAATATAAATTAAAGTTAAAAGTTAAAATTGAAGTTAAAGTTCAAGTTAAAGTTTAAATTAAAGGTAAAAATTAAAATTTAAATTAAAGTTTAAAATTAAATTAAAGTTAAAGTTAAAATTTAAATTAAAGTTAAAGTTGAAATTTAAATTAAAGTTAAAGTCGAAATTTAAATTAAAGTTAAAATTTAAATTAACGTTAAAAGTTAAAATTTAAGTTAAAGTTAAAGTTAAAATTTAAAGTTAAAAGTTAAAATTTAAATTGAGGTTAAAGTTAAAATTTAAGTTAAAGTTTAAATTTGAAGTTAAAGTTAAAGTTAAAATTTAAGTTAAAATTAAAATTTAAATTAAAACAAAACCTGGTTTTAGGGTTCTCCCCAAAGCCTAATAAAGAGAGAATTCAGATTAAGTTGAGCACCATTTGGGCAATTCTCCATCTCCTCCCCTTCGCACTAAAAACGGGATCAAAATCCCCCAAATTTTCAAAATTTTCTCAAAATTTGGGGTGGAAAATTCAGGTTTTGGGGCTTGTGGGGCTGCAGGGGGAAGAAGAGGAGGAGAAAAAAACCCAATATCCTACATTTAAAAGATAAAATCTGGCTGCACAACCCAACACCGCTCTCTCTCCACATTTAATTCCTCAATAAATCAATGTTGAAATTCAAATTAACGCCCAAAATCACCCCCGAGCGGTGCCTCGAGTTGTGAAACCGCGTGGGTTTCGCTCTGCACCGGAAAACTGCGACATCCCCCCCGAAAAACACTCAAAAAATGACCAATTTACTGAATTTCTCCGAAAAAATATGAGTAATTTCATTACTTAATGCAAATAAGTCCCCTTCAAAGAGTTTGTGGCTCTTCCCCCTGCCAAAATTTGGGTGAATTTGGGGTTTTTTATGGCTTAAAATGAAGATTTTTAAGGAGAGCCGCCACTCGAGGAGGATTTGCCGCGGGGTAATTTCTGAAATCTTACATTTTTTTACCCCAAAAGGTGGTTTCCGTTGGAGGAAAACCCAACCCTGAGGAGGTCGAACGAGGGCCACGGCCTCGTTACAATTAAAAAAATCACTGAATTCACAGAAATCCTCTCCCTTTGTTAAGCGCGGGCGGAGAATTAAAGGGAAGAGGGCGAGCGGTAATTGACCCCGAGCCGTAAAAAGAAAACGACTTCCTGCCTAAAAGGAGAAGCGAAAGCAGCCGTAAAATCCTTTAGGGCCGCTCGTACGCGGGCGGAAACGAGTAAATTAAATAATTAAGAGGCGAAAAAAGCGGCGGGGGCTGCGCGGGGTCGGAGAAGGGAGACGCCGCCGCGGTCCGGGAATCGCGTAGGCCCGTTTCTTTCTGATTCGGAGCTGAAATTCTCATTAATTTTCATGAATTATTCAAAAAGGAGGAAGTCTGGGGTGTCTCGGCGGTGAAATTCCCCCGTCTGTACTTTTACAACCCTCACGGGGGGTCCCGAAAAGCCCGCGGGGAAAGGGGAGCGACTGAGGACGAGCGCCACCAAGATGGCAGCCGAAGGCCCTTCCGGAAGTTTCCGCGACGAGGCCTCTTGCCCCATCTGCTCCGGTTTCTTCCAAGACCCCGTTTCCATCCACTGCGGGCACAATTTTTGCCGGGGTTGCATCACCCGACGCTGGGAGGAAAGCGCCGCGGATTTCGCCTGCCCCCGTTGCGATGAGAAGGCCCCGGAAAGGAACCTGAGGCCTAACCGAGAATTGGCCAAAATCATCGACATCGCCAAAAGGTTGAGTTTGAGGGCGGCCAAAATTGGGCTGGAAGGGGAGAAGCTGTGCCAAAAACACGGGGAAGCCTTGAAACTCTTCTGCGAGGACGACCGGGACCTCATCTGCGTGGTTTGTAGGGAGGCCCAGGCCCACCGGGCCCACGCCGTGGTTCCCGTCGAGGAGGCCGCCGAGGAGTTCAAGGTGACAAAAAATGTGGATTTTTTTGGTCCGTTTTAATTCATTTTTGGGGTCGTTGGTGTTAAGGCATCGCCCGTTGCTTATGTGGTTGGTTAACTCAGTTGTGAAGCGGCGGCTCCCGTTAAATTAACCCCATCGAAATCCGACGGGAAAGGGGCCTTCAAGGCCATCAAAAATCTGATTTCTCTTCAAAGTAGGGTCAGAGGTGTTGTCTCAAATGTTTATCTATAAATATAGCTACTATAAATATATAT